AAGATATGTTAATGCAAATGTATACATTTTCAGCATTGCTGTAGATGTAGTTTATATCTTCCTTTTGCTGTGTAGATGTATATGTGCTTGTGGGCATGTGTGTAATGTATGTATATGGTAAATGTTCATTTCAGTACTGTGCTATTGTAACATGTTGACCTGCACAATCCACAGCTTAAGAGAAAGCAGATGTGTTCTCAGTTGTATTGAAAACATAGTTTATACATTTTTTTTTTTTTTGTATTTTTTATTTATTACAATGCCAGTAAAATTAATTAAAGCTGGTTGGAAAGACAAAAACAATCTGATACCTATTAAGCAGATGATGTTGTTTTATGAACATTAAGGTTGTTTATAGTCCCAGGCAGTGTTGTTAGGGGCTAGTCCAGCAAAAGGCCTTCCCAGAGTGATGGCTGCTCCTCCCCCTGGGGAGATTTCCATTGATCTTAGATCCTCAGTGCTCTTATGCTGTAATGAGGGGAGGGGTTGATTCTGCGTGTGCTTCAGTGTGATGGTGACTTTAAAAACTGCATCTATGGCATGAATAAATTCGGAAGTCTTAAGCTGGTATTTCCTCAGGACATCAAGGTTGCCTCCCTCTGCTTGCAGGGCCTCAGCTGCCCGCGAGCTGTCGTGCACACGAGCTTGGTTTGCTCTCTGCACTCGTGATCTTGCTGAGATGCTGCCTTGGCACCAAGGCTGCACCATGCTGGTGGCAGTGCTGCAAGCACCACATAAACCCTACTTTGTGTAGATGTGGGGATGGGTTAAAGAAGAGCAGTGGACAAGGGGACTTACCTGAACCAGGCTAAACTCTCGCTCTCTTTGTTTTTTCTCTTACCTGCAGCTCAAGCCAGGTCAAAACAGTTGCCGAGACAGCGACAGTGAAAGCGCCAGTGGGGAATCGAAAGGTTTCCATCGAAGTAGCTCTCGGGAAAGACTCAGTGATGTAAGTAAAACTCCTTCAACCAAATACTGCTCTGATTAACCCCTGCTGTAGGTTTCTGAGGGGCATAAGTCATAACAAGGTTTAGTTTCTGGGATGGTTTGTTGCTAAAATCCTCTTTTCCCTTTGGGGGGGTTGGCAGAGGAAAAGGTAACTTAGATCTTCTGCCTCAGTTCTGTAAACTTAAAGTTTGGTACAGTGGCATTAATAGCACAATGAATGAGTATGAAAACTCTCATTGATTTTGAAATAGTTGGATGCTGTTTAATGAAGTTAAAATGCCCTGCATAGTTGAGATGGCCTCTTTTTACCCCAAGTAGGGAAGGAAAAGAATGCATTTCTTTGGGCTCAATACTGTCTTTATGAAAAGCATTAGAGTGTCTAGAGAGGCTCAGATAATTTATATATAATAAGTTGATATAACATGGCCAACAATAGCATAAGCTCTGCTGTTACTGCTCTGCTTAAACTGCTGTGGAAGGTCCTAAGATGGCAGCTCTACGGAGAATGTTTTTCTCCATTGAAGAATGCTGGCCATTCACTGAATGTCATGCATGAGTTATTCTGACATAGGAATGACTACAGAAATCTTTCTGTTGCTGCAATTAGATTATTATTTATAATGTGTACCGTCACAATCCTTGAGTGTTTTATTCATGGCTCTGGGTCCTCTGTGCTACGTGCTTTACAACACTGAGTATAAAGACAGCTCTGTCCCAAAAGAGTATCTAAATTGGGGATTTTGTAGGTCAGATCCTTTGCTGGTAAAAGCATGGATAGCTACATCAGTGAGACCAATTTGTATCAGCCAGCAAGCTGGCCCTACTTTTAACTAACCCACATTTTGGAAATGGGGATTTTATTGATAGTGTGTCTATGTAGATTTGGATGACAGATACCAGATGGTGCCTTCTATAGGCCAATCCAATAAAACTGAATTGGGCAGACATTAAGAGAAATACCTTTGTAAAGGATACATTTTGCTGTGCAAATTTAAGCCTGAAGGCATGTGGCTAGCAATTTTTGCTGAATTGTGTGTATCACTGGAACAGCCGCCACCTGGTTTGTTTTTTCTGTGAAGGTGTGGAATCCATAGCACTCTCTTTCCTCATCCCTTTGTCACATTATTTTAGGTCCGTTCCTCCCCCAGAGCCAATCTTTATGTGTACATTCAGTTAGACACATCAGATCCTGCCCTTCATAGCCATCAGGTGAGGTCAGTCTCAGAGCTGTAAGGTATCTTTGGGAGACGAGAGTGAAACCAGAGGAGATAGTAAGTGGATGCTCTGTACAGGTAGCAGTGGATGGCAGCTGACCCTCAGCCTGTCACCGTTGCCATCCCAGCTTGCCCTGAGCCCTGTGGCAGCTGAGGAGTCACTGCAATGAACTTCACAGTTACACAGCACCTTCCAGCAAAAAATTTCACAGCTCTTTACAAACATGGTTTTAATTTAGCCTTGTCAGTCCCTTGCACCGTACTGAGTAGAGAGTTCTGAGGTTTATTTGAGCTTCCCAGCAGCTCACAGCGTTGCGGTGCCAGACCTGGCAATGAGAGCAGAGTCCTGGTTCTCCTTCCACCAAATACTCTGGTGTTTTCACAGTACTTTCCCCTTGTCCTGGCACTAAGGTGAATGAAAAGGAAGTGGAGAGCAAATACAAGTTCCCTAGTGCACCTGAGAGAGGACGTGGGGATTCACAGGTTGCTCAAAAGAGACGTTATATAAATATATGTGAAAAATGTATATTTAAAGATCATAATACATAATTTATGGTTTGCTCAATAAGTAAGTTCCTTTATGCTTTGATAATTCATTGCAATACAAACATGTGTCTCTGTGGTCTGGTGTTGCCAGTTCAGCTGAGATTTGAAAAACATGCATGAGAGAACTCTCATCTTGCCTGAGAGTGTGGTGGCCTTTCCCAGACTCTTAAAGTTAAGAAAAGTAAATACTGTTCTCCATTTCTCTCTCTCCCAGAGACAAACACTCCATGTTTTTAAATGACAGGGCCATACAAAGTGGGAGTGATGCTTCCACTTCGAGCTGTGGGTGAGCCCACTTTGAACTGTCCTTTTATGCACAAAGTTGCATTAAGAGTTTAATAAGGTTATTTTAAATAGTATCCTTTGAAGGAGTGAGTTATCTAATGATACCTGCCAATTACTGTCCAAAAAAAAAAAGCTACAGACAAAAGAGTAAGTTTTCTCTGAAGATCCTTTTCTGATTTTAACAGTATTTTCCCAGAAGAAATATGCAAAAAAAAGTTGTGTACTCAACAGAAGATAGAACAAAAATATATCACAGGCAGATTAACCCTGAGGTCAGAAAGCAAATTTTGGACATGAAATATAATGAATCTCCACTGATGTAGCCCAACAGCATTGTAAGATTGAGCATGGCTACTGCCTGGAAATATGTGTAATGAATGAAGTGCATATACTCTAGGTGGATGATCAATTTTCAAATCCCTAGTTATAAGTAAGCTGTTGAAACAGAAATGTTAGCTTCATGAGCTGTAATGTGGAGCTTAAGTGATAGCTTAGTGACAGATACAGAACGAGGGAGATAGTATAATGAATATCCAGTTGCAAACTGATGTGTCAGTGGCTTCATTCCCTCTCCTGTCAGATATCTTTCAACTCTGCATATTGTAAATGTACCTGCAGTCCTTGGATAACGCAGATAGATACAAAGTGTGTTTACAAGGGATGACTCCTTTCCAGGCTAATGACATCCAAGCAGGTAATTTGCAGCATTTGTGAAAGAGGTGGTCAAAAATGAAAAGAAGATAATTCAATGAAAAGACCATGTTAAACACGAGACTTTTCTCATAATGAGGCTTGAAATAGCATCAGACAGTAGGAAGAGGAATATCCTGTGTTCTTGTCAGATGCAATGCAGTGAGACTGATTTCCATCAGCTCCTTTCTTTGTCCTCGTCTCGCACACGTGTACACACATGCACACACCCCTCTGTGAGAGAAGATAATTAGCAGAGAACTTGACCTCTGCTAGATTAGGGGTAATGATTGCTCAAATGCTCCATTGCAAGCGTTTGACAGTGCCCTAATACATCTCCCTGTTTGAATTTCATAAACCCATTTCTCTCTGCCTTTCTCCCCTATATAGTGTTTTTTGGAATGACAATTTGTTTTTTCCTTTATGGGCAGAAGTAGCTCCAGGGGCCTAAGAGAGAAATTGGAAAGCTGCTCCTCCTTTATATATAGGGTGCTGTAGTCAGTCTGATCTCATCAAAATCTTGCCAGTAGTGGGATTCATTTTGTTGAGATTTTGCTTGGAGACAAGATGGCAGCACTTTTGCTTTTCCTCAGTTTGGAGCTCAGTCATCTTGTTTTCCTTATAGTTATGAATTTGTTTTTAATTGAGTCTTCCCACATTGGAATACATGGGGTACTTTTTAGCCATGTTTTATGAAGGAACCAGGAGATTACTCGAGGAAAATGTGAGAATTACAGCTGACCTGGATGGTAAACGCACAGAGTATTCAGGGGTTCAGCCACCTCTTGTCCAGTCAAAAACAAATAAAAAAACCTGATTTCTTTGCACATTCCTAAATTTCTGATCTACCACAGGGCTGAAGCTCACACTCAGCTGTAAAGTCATTGCTAGTCCTGTTAAAAATCTGATGTCTGTGAAACAGACCTTGCTCATCGTTCTGGTACTGACGATGCAGTGGCAGCGCAAACCTGCGCTGTTGGGAGCCTGGCCTCTGCTTGCTATTGCTGAATAAGGAATCACAGGCTGGGAGAAATAGTTGGCACCTTTCTGTCTAGAATATTGTTCCAGTTCTTGAATAGGGAGTGGGACAAGAATCTTTCCATTTCTTCCCTACGTTGAAGGTCTCATCCTGGGCTCTTATCAAAGCTTTTTTTTCTTCTCTTTTCCCGGTGCTTTGTGTGCTCCTCCTGCTCTGTGTGCTTGGCACTTGAGAATAGATTACAGTGAGGTATCAGTGAGCAGTAAGTACTGGAGTGCCCTGTCCACCACGTCTGTTGCTGTCTGCTTTGGGAAGAAATATGTCCACACCCCCAGCAGTGTAATCCTGTGGACAGCTCACACTTTTGGCCTCAAATATGGGATATTTAAAACTCTCCATCTCCCATTCCTCCCACCTGAGTATGGAGCCCAAAGAAAGACAAACTGAGGAATGGTCTTTGGGTTATGTGCTCTGAAATCCTTAGTACTTTTCCTTCTCCAGAATACCCCTGGTAGCTTTGGCTGTATCCGAAGTGGACTAACACCAGCAAAGCTCTGTGTGTGTTTGTGTGTGTGTGTGTGTGTTTGTGCCAGAAACTGTTCAGTTGCAGTGGTTGCTTCTTTCTCTCTGTGTGTGTGTGTGTGTATGTGAAGGTGTGTGTGTTTGTCTGTCTAAGGTTGGGTGCTTAAATGCTTTGTTGCATTATGTTAATTCCTCGGCAGTGCAATCAAATTCATGTCGTAATTAAAGCTGTCAGTTGGAAGGCAAGCCAATCGCCAAGAAAACACAGCATAACAAATGAAGTGAAATGATTCTGCGTGTAGCTATACAATGCTTCGCCAGGCATGAAATTAAATAAGTAATTTGATGTTGACATCAGAAATTGAAATGATACCCACTGTTCCTTCATTCAGTCAGACCTGCATAAACAATAGCCAGAACAAATACGTACAACACAGTCTTTCTCCCCACCCAGCTCCCCAAGTAATGCACAATATATATGCAAAATGGGTATAACTGTGCCTTCCAAGACCTCAAGGATGTAATTTTCTTTGGTACACAATAAACTAATGCTTACATGAGGGTTAATACATTTTTGCTCTTGGGCCAAAAGTTCTTCTCTTTTAAGAATGGGAGGAAAAAAAAAATAGGGGAGGGGGAAAAGCAGAAGGCAAATAACAAAACCAAAACCCTCTTAATTTTAAGCAAGTGACTTGGCATTTTGCTGATGGGAACCTGATGCAGGCTTCTGCTGGTGGTTGTGTGAATATCAAATAGTATATCTAATGTTGAATTTTGCAAAAGGTTTCGGAAAGTGAAACCATTACCTCTATTATAGGCACACTTTATATAAAGAGATGTAGAACCACCCAGTGCAGGATCACGACTCAGCATGGGCTTGTAAAGATGCTGCTTACACAGTATCACATTCATCAGTTGGTACCAAGGCTGGGCACTGGGTAGTAGGATCCTTTCGCTATTGGGAGTTAACAAAAAAAGGTGAGAAGCTGTCTTCTTGCATAGCCCTTGCTTCAGCCTGTGTGCTCTGTCAACACACAGTTCACAAAACAGCTGACTTAGTCATTCATGCATGTGCAATGCAGTCTTTCTTAAAAAGAGTTTGCAAACTGTCCTGTCCATATGCAGCATGCAATGTGTGAAGGGCTGTATTTCCATCCAGCAAACTCAAATTCTCTGAAAATGCACAGTTGTTTCTTTTCAGTGAAAGTCATTTGACTGCTGTGTTTCGACTGTCCTCCCATAGCCATTGCAGCATTGCTTTTGAATGAATGGAAATACTCAGTGGGAAATATTTTGTTTGCTTATTCTTTTTTTTTTCTCCCTTTTTATTGTTTTGTTTTGATACTTTATCCTTCCAAAACTTGGAATAAAAAAAACAGACAAAAATTGCACACAGATGCAGAAAGCAAACTTTGGAGCTTTCAGCCTGTTAAAGTAAGTTTTAAAAAAATTGTGAGTGAAAGAGTGGGACTCGATTAGCATCTGTCCATAGCTTAAACAAAAGCGGTTATAAGGATTGCACGTGTTGTACTTTGTGGGTAGATCTCTAGCTTAAATTAAAAGAATTGAAATGGCATGAAGCAGAAAGCAGAATGGTTAAAGTGAAAGCAGTATGTATTATGTGCTTTACCAGGAAGGTAATGCATTAAATTGGACTAGATGATCTCCAGAGGTCCATTCCAGCCCCTGCCATTCTGTGAAATGCTAAACCAGAGTGTGCTGAAATCTGCTCTCTACCAGGTGTTGCAGAACTGTGCTCTATGGGCTGCAGTGGCTCCCAAAACCATGATCTATGGCCCATGGAGGAGAGGTTCTAGCTGGAAACAGTAGCCATGATTGGGGCTGTGGTGGTCACCAGGTTATTCCCAGCTGTGTGGTCACTGGGATGTAGAGGAAAGCGGAGCAGTTGGGCTGAGCCTGGGGGCCTTGTAGCCATGTGTTCCCAAATCTTAGTCCTCTGCACCACAGTGTGATGCTGCTGCAGAGGAGCTTTCAGGGACATGGTCACTGGGACCGGGTGGGTTTTGCTGTGGATGATGGTGGCAGAGGGAGTTTGAGGCCCTGGAGCAGCAAGAGTGGGGCCAGAAGGATTTAGGAATTTCTGTAGAGCTCCCCTTGCTCACTGATAACCAGATCTGCAGATCCCGAGTCCTTCAGTAGCTGCAGCCTACCAGATAGAGTATTAAGGGGCAGGAACCATGTGCCTTCCAAATTAATGTAGCACTTTTGTTTGTTCATATAAGATGTCCCAGTGGAGTTTGCTGATTTTATGATATTGGTATCCTTATGACTACTGAAGTGATTTCCTCTTGCTAAGTCTTTAACTGCTAATGGCTTAAACCAGAAGGCCTTTCCCTATATGTACATAACTCCTCTAAACTTCTAATTTTAGTAGTGCTTTAGTGAACACACAGTAATATTCTGATTATTTGCAATGAATTTTGTTGTTAATTTTAAATTTCTTGGCCCAATCTATTTCTGCTGTGCTGGGTTCTGTAAAAAGATACCATAAGCCCCCTGTGGGGTTTTATTATCTTTAATGTCAGTGCTGCACTCCAGGATCAGAAATGGAGAGAATTTGCTGTTGGGGTTCCCTGCTCTAGTGTCTCAGAACAGGGATGACAGTGAAGGGAATTCTGTGTGTTTCCAGTGGTTTGCTAAGGCTGGTCAGGGCCCCGTTGCAGTTCCTGGTAATCACTGAGCTGTGTCATTACCGAAAGTGAGGTTGTGCCAAGGGATAGAAACAGGAATTGAGCTCTAGGAGTTAACGACTGGTCATCTGAACTACCTGCTGCTCACTGGAGAATTATCCTCTGCGCTTTGCTTGCTTTGTCCGTTGACTAGAAGCATTTCAGGTGACAGGGCTGTAGCGTTGGGAACTGTTCACCCTGTAATGTAACAGCCAGTGACCTGGATTAAGACTGAGATGTTTAGGTCTCTCACCGTGTCTCTAAGAGAACCTGCTGTGTAATCCCTATTGCTGAGATGAAAAACTAATGAAACAAAACCCTTTATCTCCTTAATTCCTGTGAATGTAGAGGTTGTGATCATGTCCCGCTTAAACTGAATTTCCTGATGCATTTCTTTAAGCATTTAAACCCTTTGATTGTTTTCCATGGTAGTTATACTAGTTTTAATTATTTTTTATGGGTTTGAGTCTTGAAAACTGTTTCATACTGTAGATATTTGTTGTTTGTTTTTTTCTTTTCTTTTTAAATCCTTGGTTTCTCAAACAATGTGGACATCCAAACAGGAGATTGTAGTGACTGCATTCTCCAGGAAATGGTACACTGACTGAAGAAGCTTCTCTGTGCCCACGCGGTCTTTACATTTCAGACTACTAATTATGTTTACAAAATGTCTCATTTTAGAAAAGCACTATGTGTGTACTAACCAGGGCCTGTCGGGAATAAATTGGCAAACAGGTCATACGCTGAAAAAGTCATCCAAACCCACCGGGCTTTTTGTTTTGAAGTCAGTCTATGTTTTTTTTCTTTTACCCCTCCTGCCTGCCCCTTTGTGGCCACAAAGCTGAGTAGCTGGAGTCCAGGGCATTGAATGTCAGCATGTCAGGGAGGCTGGTTGATGAGTGTCTGTTTAGTCTCAGTGCAGGGCGAAATGCCATCATTAATTCATTACCCAGCTGCCTGTCAAATAAATTGGCAATTACATTCACCGCAGAAGCTTGGAATTCAGTAAATAGCACGTTACCATCTCAGAGTCGTTGAGAGATGTAAAGGGAAAAATTAAGCAACACCGTGTTTGTTTCAGTAGCAGATGACAAGGGGCAGCACATTGGTGCTGTGATGTAGTGATGAAAAGCTTGGAAAGGACTGGTAATGAGCTGTGTGGATTGGAACGTGTTAAAAACCATCACTGACTTTCCACTTTGTCTTTGTGTTTTATTGCAGAGCTCAGCTCCTTCCAGCTTGGGAACAGGCTACTTTGTAAGTGTATCTCAACTTTAACACATGTGCTTCTGAACGGCATAGCATTACTCCTGAAACAAAAGTGCCTTATTATATGGAAACAAGCATAAATAACCAATCTCTGTCTGCCCGATAGGTTAACTCCTTTTTCTATTTCTTCCTCCATGAATGCATTATAAGTAATATTTCAGACACGGTAGTCAATGTTTTTCCTGAACTAATCAGGTGTCATATTAATTACTACATAAATTCCAACAGTATTTAATTTACACAATTATAGCAAATAAAATGAACCATGGTCTTACCAATTCTCTAATCTGAGATGGTAGGATCTTGATTTCCCCTTGTACCAATTCTCATTGATTCATAGATTTTTAAAGAGCCCATTACAGCAGTCTGATCTCATCCACTGTGTACCACAGTCCAGAGAACATGACACAGTGATTTCTGCCTGTTGGTTAAAAGCCCCGTGTCTCACAGATGATCTTGGCAACACAGCTGTAGTTGCATTTACGCTAGATTTACATTTTATGTCATGAGAAGAGGATCAGGCCCCAGCTGGTTTCATAATGGATCAGTCTTTTTATTTTTTGTTATTTCTTTGCACACTCCTTTATTGATTCAACTTACCTTACTCATATCTGTCTGTCTATGTATTTCCACGCTCATCAATATACCTTTACCTTGCACAGGTAAGTTTGGGAGTAAAAAATGTTTTCCACTCAATCCAATACACTGTTTATTTCCTCAAAGACTTGCACTTACCTGTTTCACTTGTAACTTACACTATATTCTGCAAGCATGTCTCTTCTGCCTTTATAATACCTGTAGGAGAAATAAAGCATTATATATGTCCAAAATCAGGTGGGTAAAATGCCGTGAGACATTTTCTACAGCATTGCTTTATATAGTTAATAATGTAATCAAAGCCTGCTTCTATCTTTTCATCAAACTCTGGAGAAAAGAAAACTATATAGTATTCTATTACTTGAGGGAAAAACTTTGTTGATCTCTTGTCAGATTCCCAGAGAGTAATTTTATTCCATTAGTACATGGAGAAGTTTAGTCTTTTTTCATAGAGGTCTGAGATCCTATAAGAGAGTTACAGGATTAAACTGTGTACGTGTGACCTCACATGTAAAGTGTAAAATGCAAGCATGAAAATTGCTTAATACCTGGAGAAATGCCGTGTCCTGCTGGATTTACACTGGACTTCTGCACAACCTGAATGTTCGTACTTCTGCCAGTGGTAAGGTCTGAAAAGAGTATTATCAATTCAAAAAGTTTTGTGGTAATTTTTCTAATTATAGCAAAGCACAAATCAGTGTAAGATAAGTTGTGGAACAGGAAAAAAATGGTTGCCTTTTTTCAGCATTTCTCTGTTTTGTGTCATGTGTGTTTTTAAGAGAGGGGATGAAGGAAAAAATAATATCAAATGGCTCAGTGTTTATTTGCATTAAGACTAAACCCTGAATGTCTTTACATAGTTCAGAGCGAATTGCTTTCTTCTCTCTGGGCACTTAAAATTCAGATCACGTGAATGTATACAGATACACTCTGGAATGGGACAAAGGTAATATAGGACAGAAGGCTTCAACGTACATAAATAAGCCTTGTTCTCCTTATAGCGGGAGCTGAATATTCATGGTTTAAGAACAATGTTCGGCTTCATCTTCAGGAAGCAGAGGTAACAGAAGAAAAGCCATCTGCTGTTCCCTTGCGCCATACTGTCTGTGGGTTGGTCCAGTAAAGTGAAATCTGGAAGGTGTCAACATCCCCTATGCTCCAGCAAAAAAGCTTGAAAGTTTCCAGTTCTCCCGAGTTAGGGATTTAGTAACAAGAAGCAGCTTGACATCTTCTGGTGCCAATGTATTGGCACTTCAAATCCTACTAATTTGGACCTGTGTAGGTGGGGGAGACATCCCTTGTTAGGTTCCATTAATATGATATATTTAACTGCACTGCTTCTTATGTATAGTCATAGTAATGAGATGCCTTTAACTTTCTTTCTTCACTAATAGCCGAGTGGATAGAAAACATCCTTCAGTTTCTATCTTAAAGTCATTTTTACACTTACACAGTCTTGGATGAAACATGGAGGGTTTTTTTTTTCTCCCTTTTCACTTTGGAAAATTGTTTTTAGGATTATCTTGCTTATTGTTTTAAAAAAGTCCGTACCCTTATTAACTTACACGGGGCAAATAAAAGCCAGATGTGTTTTGTGGTACCAGACAATGAGAAAAATGCTCCAGAATGATCCAATTAGCATGTGTTTCGGATAAATGTAATTATTGTATTATCAAAGTGCAAAAGAATATGCACTTGAATGGACTTCTTTTTTCCAAAGCTTTTAACTAGAAAAGACTGTTAATTTTTGTGTTAACCCAGAACATCAAAACAGAGGTCATTGGTCTCAAATAAAACAATGATAGTTTTTAGTTTAAAAGATAATAACAAAGCTTTTGCCTGTGCAAATTATTGATCACTATGTGTTGTACTTTGAACTGTGAAATATTACACAGTTGGTGCACTAAAGGAAACGCAGACGGCCAGGTAAGTTAAAATGGACTAACGGTAGGTTCACTGTCCGAGCACATCTACTATAGAAAGTAGAAACACAGATGGAAGCAGGTTTTATTCAGAAATGAATGAACACTGAGGAATGGATTAATTAGCTTCTATTTGCTGTTTAAATTTAAGTACTAATGGAATCTGTGTGTTTGGGCCATGTTACCTAGCATGTACTTAACGGAGAGAACACTTGCCAGACTTGGAATCTACCTTAAGAACTGTGCTTATGGCAGGCACTTGGGTCTGATGGGTGGAAGATCTTGTGTCTGCAATGGCTGTGGGTGCTGTGCAAAGCAAAAGTTGCTTTTTGATCCTTTGATTCTATAGAGAGCCTCCTGAGGTCACTGAGTGTTTAAGGAAATGTTTATAACCTGACACTTCCCAGTAATACAAAATCATTTTTCTAGTGTCTGTTCCATCCTAGTCATTCATTATGCACCTCCGGCAGTAGTGGTGAAGGCTGAAATCTTACCTAGTTTTATGCTGTAACTAGACACATTTCTGGATGGCAGAGCTGGAGACTAGATTCTTATGTTCTTGTTGCCTCTGTTGGTGCTTCTTGAAAAGCTGTAGGGAACGGAAAGGCACACGCTCTGGGGAGGACGTTCATACCTCCTGCTTTGACAACTCACCTTCGTTGTGAAGTCAATGGAGAGGGAATCAAATGGGAACCTCCCTCAGGTGATTCGGCCTAACTCATACCTAACCGGGATGATCAGAACTGCCATTGATTAAACAGATTTTTTAATTAGGTGCCTTCAGCAAATCAGGATATGTGCGATTAACCACTGGATGAAGGTCCATGATGCAACGTTGTTGGGGAGCTCTGAGTACCTCTGTAAGTGTTTTTCAGTTAGGAACAACTTACCCTCTTCCACAAGTGCTACTTCAGTACGATGTTCAGTAGATTTTGTTGAAAAGCCATTTTCATTGTTTCTGGAATCTGTTTCACTTCTGTCTTGATGCTTCTAGTCAGAGTGGACACTTTCCTATCCTTTTTACATCTCATTAAATCAATATTCAGAAGATAAAAGCCAGAGGTAAAAACCATTCTAATTCTCCTGTAAACCTTTTGTACTGACTTTGTTTTCTGTGGGGTCAGTCCACCATGATTGGTGCATGTGAAAAAAGATTTGGATGTGTTGTTAACACTGGTGTGCCCTAAGAAATAACTAAATACTTCCTGGAATATCTCCCAGTTGTCTTTGATATTTTTTGCATTGCAAATTGTCATTGTCTCACATCAAAGATAGATTACAAGGTAAATCAAGAAGTCAGATCAGATGATTGGAAAGTAGTTAGAATTTTAGGAAAAAAAATCAAACCTTTTTAGCTTTAAAAGTTATTTGAGTTCTCTGGATTTTTAACATTGTCCAGCTGTCTATGCATGGTTTTAGGAGGTTGAGAGAGATGTTTTAGAACAGGATTGCAGTTCAAACAATAGTAAAAGCTATTTCTCTTACCTGACAACAAACAATGATTTTTGCTAGTTTTCTTTTTGTATCTTGCACCTGGACAAATTCATGTTAAAGGATACATACAGGTGGTTCATTAGTTTGCAACACAAAACAGAACAGAAATCAAACCCTAAATAGTGGAGCATTTTATTTTTAAAGACAAACCCAGTTCCCAAGATTGTCAGGTTCTTTGGCATTTGTACAATTTTTCTGTTTATGGCAACTTGTTTCCATTTCTTGCTTTGGTTTGCTTCTCAAGTCTTTGTGGCAGTTTCTGAGGGTTTTCTGTTGGTTTTTGTTAATGCTTATTTTTTGTTAGCATGTTTTTTTCCCCAAAAAGCACAGAGTTTGTGGATTTTTCAGAGCTGGATAGAATTTGGTAATAAGCAGGTGACAGAAACAATATTGAGGATTTGGAAGGGAAAAGGAAACTCCTGTGATGCCTCTTTTCCAAACAATGCTCTTGCTCTACCTTAAAAATAGGAAGAAGAACGAAAAATGTGATTTGCACATGGGCTGGTGACTCAGACAAACATAAATCGTGAGCATGTTCCCAAAGGCCCGAGCTAATCAGTTGTGCTATCCAATTTGGCCCTGAGTGGGTTCAGTTCAGCAGATGTTTGCGTAGTTACAGCGTGCCACTGGGACACTGTGTTGTGCAATGTTGCATTACATTACTCAGAGCTCTAAAAACTCATCCCAAGGAGAATTAAGTGGAGCACCAGCGGTATTAGTGTAGAGATGATGGAAAACCAGTATTTGGCCTAGATAAGGCCAGCTATTTCCCTATGAAATAGGACTGATTTTCACCCGAGACGTTGCCTTACAGAAGAAATGTGGGATTAGTTATACCAGCAGATTCTCTGGGCTCATAGTCTCAGATAGAGCCCTTAAAACCAGTCCATTTTCCTTCCTGGTCTATATGCAACAGCATTGAGCCTAAGTAGCATATGTTTTGTTCTTTGAGGTGGTCAAATCTGTGATGTTGTT